GTGAACGAAATTAATTTTAAAATATATGATATAATGTGAAAGCGGTATAAATGACACTTACCAGTACCAACATTAATGGTTCCAGCACGACAAACGCATTTGTAAAGATTGAGCATATCCACACAAATCGCATTGTAACCGCAAATACCCAAGTTCTCTTCGCATTCGTTGATCGGCTCACATGCACTACCCACTCTTCGGAAGCCATTATCACAGACGCACTTATACGAAGCGGCTCCTGTATCATTCATAAATAACTACAAAAGAATTTTGTTTTATGCACACGGTTTGTTGTAAATCTGTGGGCATGAAGCTAAATTTTTATATTGTTTTTGCATTGTTCAAGACATATATCTTTGGTGCTTTTAGTTATACTGAAAATATTCGAAACAATATATGCTCATGTATTCCGTAAATGATAATGATTAACTGCGAACGGCAGAACAGAGAATATACCAAATGTGTCAAGTGCTTGTGTCTGGATACAATGTGAATGTGCAGCACATTGGCTGTCATTTTCACATTCTGCAATTGGATCACAGAAATTCTCCGGATTTCTGCCCTGTAATTGACATTTCTATTAGCAGCGTTATCAACAGTATCAATCATAATCAGAGAATAATATCCACAGATTTATCTGGTGAATTAATTTTTCGCATCTGTAATTATTTTATTGTTGCTTTATCTCATTGCATTTGATAGAGAGAGAAGATAGTTCAGTCTATTACATCTGTTTTCAGTCATAATTTGAATCAGTTATGTTTCATGAGCCTTCGCCACCTGGAAGAGGATGGGAGAACTCAAAAATGATCTAAAGAAATTTCAAGAAGATAAACGACTCAAGAGGACTGGTAAGAGGACTAGATCACGATAAGAAATCTAACATAATAGCCATCTTGACAGACACACTGTGGTACTAATTGATTTGGATTATCACGCGATGGTCGCTTCACACAGAATGCGTTTGCACCACATTCCAACGCACCCTCATCACAATCGCTCAACGGGACACAGATATCACCTTTCTTCGTGTAACTTAACAAGACAACTAATTAATTACTGACGTTGGGCGAATGTCAGGTCACTGGACAGAGTGCGTGGAGCGGGAACATATACAGAATTGACTCGAAATTCCAAAGGTAAGAGGAGATCGAATGCAATTTCTAAACAAAACTTTATACCTCTCACGTTTGTACCTCATTGAGGGATTTAAGCTTAAAGGGTTTAAGCTAACCTGAACTATTGTATCACTGAGTTGGTTGGGCAAAGCCAGTTTTAAAGTGAGGAGCTATCAACTGAGATTGTATCAAATTACGGTAGCATCTTTCACACTATCTAACGTAAGTAAGCCACTAACCCATTACTACAATTACAAATGAATCCACCAATTGTATTATGACAAATCTCAGAGGATGGATCACAATTGTGTACACCTGCTATGCATTCATTCACATCTGCAATTTTTCGCTTCATTGATTCCATCTGTTGATAACTTTCAATTCGGACTGACAAAAAGCAGAAAATGTACGCAATTTACTTGTATTCAGTCGTCCGTCATATTCTCAAATCTTCTGCAGAATCACAATGAAACGAAACTTTTAGGCCATGTGAGCTAACTGATATGATACTATTTGAAGAATTCAACTTCTCATTAGACTGATCACAATTGCTAGCGCAGAGATACAGATAGTCCGAATAAGAGGACTAATCAACACTTCGATATGCGCAGAAAACAATGCCCGTATCTCGTTTCAATATGGATGAGTTTCAATATGGATCTGAAATGCTGATCTCATCTGAACGTTCACAACAACTTCATTAGTCAGTCAGTCACCTTGACATGCAGTCGTCTGGCCAGGAATCAAGCTGAATCCTTTCTCTTTACATCTACAACGATAGCTTCCGATTGTGTTCTCGCATAATGTTGTCAGCTTATCACACGCATCGATGAATTCTTCACACTCATTAATATCTGCAAACAGATCGTCGTTTCCTCACTCGAACAATAGCAAATAACTTCACTAACAGGATACTCAATTGATCAGTGACATTTCAATCAATGCACACAGTACTGCTTCAGATACAAAAATGAATCACACTATTGAGATTCGACAATGTCGAAAATTGTCGCTCTGAATTGCAACTGAAGTATTGCCGATGAATGAACGACTGACTCTAAGTTGCCTCTTAAGTTACTGAATATGATTACTTATTATCCAAGTAAATCCATCAGTCGATATATTTGAAATTGACTCCTTTTGTGATCAAATCTAGTGATCAATAACGACATGGAACAACAACAGTGTCGTGACGGGGCTCGACCGATACGATTCATCGGGGGATGGATAAAAGTGATCTGTGAACTATCCTTTCGCTCTGTACATTAGCTGTTTACGTATAAGATATGATACATGCATAAGGATATAAGATATGCATGATGAAATAGAACATTTGCATGTACTGTTGGATTGTGTGATCATTTTATCCCTTTGTGCTTGCATGATCACCTTATACTCCTTATACTGCCTTACTGACTCGTATGATGAAATGCAACTTTCTTATGTACTGCTTGGAGGACTCATCCCTTTGTGATGGAGCGTATGCTATTAATCCCTTGCATTTCGATTGTATGATGCAGTGTTCTT